GGAGAAGAGAAACGCTTTGAGATTTGGAGAAGTGTGCGGCCGCGGAAACGGAACAGAAACGGAACGGAACCAGAACCCGGGAGGCAGGTCAAAGGTTCGTCCGGGTTGCTGTGGTTTGTGGGGGCAGCTGCGCGGCGCGGCGCGGTGCCTTGGCCCGTTTACACAGGGTAGGCTGGACTGTCAGTCGGGATGTGCGGTTGGCGTCGGCTGTGGGGCGGTTTGTTTGGCGGGTTGTAGGGGGGGAAGACCTGTGCAGCCGATTCCGGCGCCCCATCCTGTCTCCCGTTCGTCATTGTCCGTCGGTTCGTGACTCTGACGATAAATGTCTGTTGTATGGCATTGAGGCGCTCGGCATAGACGCGGGGGTTCGGCAGGGTTCGGCAACCTGGTTACCGTAGTAAACGAACCCGGTTGGTTAGCCAGCGCGTGTGTAACTTTGGGCATGTTGGGTGTGCGTCCACATGTGCACACGCGTCGTGCGCATACTAACTTTTTAGGGCCGGAAGCGTTCGACCAATCCTGCCTTGCACCGTCATGCGTCATCGTCCTTGGAAACCACGCAGCACCTTGACAGCACCAGGCAGGCTCTTTATCAGGATCATAGCGCACGCGAAAGGAGTCTTGCCTGAAGGCCATCGGGCGTGTCAGAAAAGGCAGCGCAGCGAACAGTGACGATTGTTCGCGATCGGATGGCGCATAAATATTATATAAAAGAGTTCAAGTTGGATGAGTAACACGCTTTTGACTTTTTCCCCTGTTAACCCTATAAAATTATCATAACCTAGGGCCCCGTTATGATAATTTTGGGCCCGTCCGTACGCCGGCCGGAATGTTGCACCAACACATAGTCCATCAGAAAGTTTATTGGTCTGCGAAACTGCGTTACGTGAAGGGCAACCAAATTTATGAGATTAATTAAAATATAACTGGTCATTTTAAATATAAAACGTTGGCTTCAACGTCCTTACCAGGCGAACAAGCACTGCCCAAGCACAGTAGAGACGCAACGATGCTGTATTCTCAGGGATTGTAGTCGAGAAAACAACGACATAGCTGCCTCCTGCGGGCGGTTGGATGGAAGCACCGGAAGTCGGCGGGTCGCTGCTGCGGCAGGGGGACGGTGCAGCGTGGCAGCTGCAAGGCGCAACAGCAGCAGCAACCCAAACGACGGCCCCGCGTCCGATGACCGCCAAAGATCTGCTCAGCTACGCTCGGGGGATGGCAGCATGGCTGCCCGCAGCAGCAGCAGCAACCGCACCGCAGCCGTCGCCAGCGCCGGCGCCAGCGGCCGTCCCCACACACGCCTCCGCCTCCGAGCCCGCGTTGCCAGCGCTGTTGTGTCAGGCGAACCACGCATCGCTACGCCCCTCGAAGCGCTTCCGAGACGTAAGGCCGCTCTGTTTTCCCCTCTGGCACGGCACGGGCTGTTCGATAACTCCGATATGTGTTCGGTCTCGCGCCTTTTCCGCAACTTGCATGTGGCAACCCACCCATCCATGCCCACCATGCGAACCCAAGTGCCCCCAACCTCTCGAACGACGCAGGACGGTCCGTACGACATCTGCCCGCCGGACATGGCTCCCTCTACGTCGTACTCTGGCGCAGCCAAGGCACCCTCGCAGCGCCCCGCCGCCGGCGGCGGCGCGGTCCCCAAGGCCGTGCCAGGGCTGCCGCCGGGTGTCGTTCTGCTCAAGGGCTACCTGTCGTTGGACGAGCAGATCCGCATCGTACGGCAGATTCGGGAGCTCGGCCTGGGGCCCGGCGGGTTCTATGTGCCGTCGTACAAAACCGGCGGGCGGCTGAACCTGCAGATGATGTGCCTGGGGCTTCACTGGGAGCCGCGTACGAGCAAGTACGAAGCCGTCCGGTAGGTGTACGATATGGCTGCTCACCGTCTGCCCGCTGCCCACGGGGAATCAGGGATTCATGGTTTCTTTGAGGGAACGTAGGAACGTACGATCTAAGGAGTTCTGGATTTTTTTGAATGAGAAAACAACGGAATGAGGCATCGGGCGCAGGGGTGCGTAAGCGGTAGCGATAGCGGAGGAATAGCCGGAAAGAAGGGATGGCGACAGCGGCGACAGTGGCATGTGTGGATAACACGTGCGGTGGCACACTTCCGGAGCATCGGCGTGACGTGTGTGTGTGTGTGTGTGTGTGTGTGTGCGTGTGTGTATGTCATGACTTGGTTAAAATCCATCGAGCCACCTAGCCCTCTCCCTCCCGCGGCTGCTGTACGGCAGATCTTCCTACGACGGCGCGACGCCGCCGCCCATCCCGCCGTGGTTTGTGGAGCTGTGCCGCCGCTGCCTGGAGGCCGCCTCCGCCGCAGCGGCCACCGGCGGAGGCGGCGACCGGTCGCGCTTCCCACTGCTCCATCCGGATATTTGCCTGGCCAACTTTTACGAGCGGTCGGGGCGGCTGGGCATGCACCAGGTAGGCAGGCCAGAACTTGAGGGGGAGAGGAGGGCGGCAGCAGTGGCCAAGTCCCAAGTGTCGGGGCATTGCTCTCCCGAGGTCTCGCGGTCTCGGTGACCTGCATCTGTACTACACTCCCGCCCCTGTACGACACGTACGACATGGTTGCAGGACAAGGACGAGATGCCCGACTCGCTGCGCGCGGGGCTGCCGGTGGTGTCGCTGTCGCTTGGCGACGCGGCGGACTTTCTGTACGGCAGGTGAGACGTGTCGTATGGGAAGGGAGCATCATGTACAACAGCGTGTTCGAGGGGGCTCCGGTGCGCGGGATGCAGGGCTCAGGGCGAAGCGTGCTCGATCGGCAAGCCGCCCCGCCTGTGTGTGTATTGCGGAGGCGGAGCAGCCTTCAGCATTTCTGGGCTCTTCTGTTGGAACCCGAAGACCCCAAACGGCGAACCCAAGCCCCACTCCCCGACGCATGCACACGCGCGCGCAAACGCACGCGCACACGCACACGCACGACGTTAACCCCCAACCGCCAACGTACACCAACGCAGCTCTCGCGACGTGGAGGCGGCTCGCAGCGTGCGGCTGGAGTCGGGTGACCTGCTGGTGTTCGGGGGCCCGGCCCGCATGATGTTCCACTCTGTGGCCAAGGTGCACCCCAACACGGCGCCGCCGGAGCTGCTGCGCGCCACCGGGCTGAGGCCGGGCCGCCTCAACCTCACCTTCCGGCAGTACCGGGGGGCGGCGCCAAGCAGCAGCGGGCCGACGTCGTGAGGAGGTGGCAAGGGCGTCCACGTCAGCGCATCTGGCAAGGCGGCGGATGGTTGGGCGGGTGGAGGGGCGGATGGATAACGATGTGTGGGTAACGGTGTGCGGGTTCTGTTGATGTTTCTGTTTCGGTCCGCGGTCCGCCTCGGTCACCTCAGGGTATATCGCTGCATGCGGCCTTCTTCCTCTTTCTCGCCCTTCGATAGATGCGGCGGCGGCGACAGCCACACATGATGCGTGCTTGCTGGCTGGCTGGCTCCTCTCGCGCATGTCCACGATCGGCTCGCGATCTTGTTCGTTTGTCGGCTTGATCCTGCGTGTGTATTGAGAGCAATCGGGCATTGGGCATGATGTACGTCGTGATGCATGATACCGGTACACACACCAACACATGCGTGCTGCGGCGGTGCAAGGGCATTGCCGTGCGTCTGTTATCGTTTAGTTAGGTTAGGGTGCCGAGCCGCTGGTTCCTGGATCCAGGATGTTGGATTCTGAATCCAGGGAATGTGGGTCATGCGGATAGGCCGGCCACAGGAGTGACGACAGATGTGTCGATGTGTTTTTTAGGGTGTTTTAGGGTTTGAAGGAAAACGGATCTGAAGGAAAGGAACAGGATCTGATGAGCGGATCTGATGGCTCGGAGGGCGTTATTGGGCGCACATGCACACTTGATGCACACTTGACACGTGTTGTGTTGTTTCAGTGGGCTCCAGACTCCGGTACGGCATTGGGTGTCCCGTTGGATGGCGTTAAACTGACGCATTCCCTGGAGCTCCTGGAGAGTGACGGGGCCGGTTGGTCGCACTGCCACATGATTTTACGTACAGCCACAGTAGCGGGGCAGGATGAGGCTTGGGTGGGTGGGGCTGATCGCCGGCCCGGGCTACAGTCATTGCACCGCACCGTCATGGCGTCATGGCACCGCACTTTTCTCATGCCGCAGATCTGCAGCGCATTTGCAACAGCACATGGGCTCGGGGTGGGTTACGGGGCGATTTGTCCGGTTTGTCGGGTGGTGTGGCCGCGTATTACGGGTTTACGGCAGGCGAGGAATAGGTGTTCAAAGGTGGTCGTACTGCCCCCGCTGGGGGCCGCTTGCAGCTGGAGAGGAAAGCTTCTGGCTGAGTACTAGGCAGGGTCAGGGAGGGTCCGGTGCTGGTGTGTCGCGTGTGGAAGGTACGGCAGGGTTGCCGTGCGCGCGCGCGCCGGTGGTGTTGGTTAATGGCACAGGCCGCGCAGACAGAGGAGTCTCGCTAGCTGAGCTGCATGGTGCCGCTGTGAAGCCATTTCTCAGTACGCAATAATGTTCTTGTTCTTATAGAGGGCTCGAGACCCTCCGTACCGATGCAAAGTGTGTTGTCGCCGGGCGGCTCGAGCCTCTCCCAGGACTAGGCGGGGCAGAGCATACCTAAGCCAATTGCCAAAGCAGAGAAGAGAATAGCACAGCGGCAAAGGGGCGCGAAGGCAACCATGGTGGGTAGGTTCAAACCCGCAATGCCTTGCGCATTGCCGATTGGTGCACTACGCGTGGCGACGCTATGGTGGCTGGGGCGTGCTGCGGTCACCATGGATCCTGTCGCGTTTGCGCCAAAGCTGTGGCCTGAGCCCTTCTGTAAGGATAGCTGGCCGCATGGATGCCCCCGTGTATTTCCCAGCTTGCCAGCCGAAGGTGGCGTGTCTGTACCTTCTCCACACCACTTCGAAAGGTGCCCACTTTCCACTCTGCTTGATCATGTTCAGATGTCAGGGCTCAGGGGCGCAGAAACACGGAACACGGATAAAAAGACGCAGGTCCAAAACAATCACCTTGCTCATACGGGGGCTCGAACCCCGGACCTGCGGCTACCTTCGCGAGGCATAAGACCACCGCTCTAACCGACTGAGCTATATGAGCAGATGCCTTCGAGGCACTTTCAACACTAATGTTATAAATCTAACAGCAACCTGCACTTGCAGGTCCCTTGCCCGTTGTCCAAGGTTGCGTCGTGGTTCGCACGCGCTGGCCCAGTTTCTGTCGTTAGCCTGGCCGTCCGTCGGCGAGCCTGCCTGCCAGGAATGTCTTGTTCCCTTAGCTCTTGTAAGCTGCCAGCCTTATCCTTGGCAACGGTGCCGCGCTGCGTCTCCAGTCTGGCGCATCCAACGCTCCTTGACAACGACAGGCGGAGCTGCCGCATTTGTGGGGATGTGCTCACGATTTTAAATTCCTTACCGTGCTTAAGCCTTTTGCATTCCGGCTGCTCATGCATGAGTCGCTCGGCCCGGCCAGTCCAATACAGCTCCGGCCTTGTGAGCTGTAAACAATATTCGAGTATTTTTAAAAAAGCAAGTATGAATTGCCCAGACGGCCAAGACAAATGGCTCCCAACAGCTAGGGTTTCTGTCTTGCACTCGGGGTCGAGCGGTCGACTTACAGAATTTAGGTTGAGGAGCATCTCATCGCTTCGACATCAACATAGCTTTTCACCAAAATTACTAACCATACTGTAAAGTTTTGCATGCGAGGGGAAGCGTCAACTGTTCCTCCGTACAAATGTTTCTTCGCCGCGGCATGCATCTTCCGAAATCGAAATTGTCTGAGATCTCAAGTTTGTATTTGCATATTGGTTCAACCCAGCTACACCTTTGCTGCATCAGTATTGGTGCCGGGTAGAAGTACTAGGAGTTCAGGAGTCACGCGTCGGCATCTCCACAGCACGGTGAAAGTCAAGGTTCCACGACACCTTCCCAAAGCCGTGGCATAGCGGCCCTTCTGTTTTCTTTGCATATCAAACAACACACCGTCCGCGCAGCCGAAATTTGGTGTGCCCAGGTGTCGCCATTTCGGGCCACATTTCGCCGGGACAACAACTCGCAAGATACTGACGCAAACGACGCAGCTCCGTAATCATGGAGCCTCAACACCACCAGTTGCATAATCAGCAGGATCGCAAGGAGAACAGGCCGCCACCAGCCCCGACCCGACCCGGCCCGAAAGCAGCCTGCAAGCAGCAGCCGGCTCCCGCTGCCAGTCAGGTCAGTCAGATCAGCCACCATCTTGGCGCAGCTTCTCAAAATCACCAGCACCAGCCTGATCCGCACCAAAATCATCACCCAACTCAGAACCCACATCAGAACCCACATCAACACCAACTCCAGATCCAGCACTGCCCGTTGCCGCAGCAGCAGCTCCCGCAGCCTCCATCGGGCCAGTCCGCGCCGACCCAGTTCGAATGCACCGTCGCCGACATCGCCGGCACGCGCTGCGTCGTGACGCGCTATCCCTTTAGCTGCTTCGCGCCCAACGGAACACCGCTGCTTGTCTGCGCGCCCGTGCCGCCACCGGACTCATCCGAGCAGGAGGAGCCCCCTCCCGGCTCCGAAATTCAGTCCCAGCCAGCCACGCAATCCGCCGGCGGCTGCCCTGACGCTAGCGGTGGCAGCGGCTGCGGCAACGGCGGTGGGCAGCCTTCCAGCGGCGGCGGCGCCCGTCGGTCCGCACGGATTAGCGGCCTTCGAGGTGCACCCGGATCGACATCCACCTCTGTGTCTGCGCAAACCGCCGGCGGCCGGGGACGAGCTGTCATTGCCGCTGCTGGCCGCAGCGGCGGCGGCGGCGGCGGCCGCCGGGGCCGCGGCCGCGGCCGTGGGCTGCCTTCCAACAGCGGCGGGGCCGCCGCCGTCGCCGCTGCCACCGACACCAGCGCGGAGGACCGTACGGCATGCGCCACCGCGGCTTCCGGCTCCGCTGATTCCCACGGCACTGCCAACGGCCCAGGCCAGCTGTCGGTGGAGCCGGCGGCGGTGCCGGACGAGCCGGGCCGGCGCGCGGCGCCGGCGGCGCCGGCTGCACCAGCGGGCGCCGCTGGCCGCATCACGCCTCGGCTTTACTACGTCGCGTCGTTTCTGACGAACGACGCGTCGATCTACGCAACGGCGGCGGTTCGGGGCGGCGGTGGCGGCAGCGGCGGGCCGCGCTTGCCGGCGAGTCATCCGGCGGTACGGCGCGCGCTACTGGCGGTATGCGGGGTGTTGGCGGCGGAGGCGGGAGCGTTCGGGGAGACCAGCCGCCGGCGGGCGGCAGAGCGGCTGTGGGCGTCGCTGGCGTCGACGGTGCCGCCGGGCTTTCCCCTGCCAACGGCGGCGGAGTGGGCCGCGGCGGTGGGGCAGTCGACGCAGGCACCGCCGCCGCCGCCGCCACAGCAGCCGCAGCAGCAGCAGCCGTTTTTGCTGCCGCCACCAGCACCTCCCCAGCAGCAGATGCAGCAGCAGCGACAGGGGGTGGCGGAGAGTGGTGAGCAGGTGCAGCAGCAGCGCCCGCATCGGCGGAGGGAGGACGAGGGAGCGGAAGAGGGGAACGGGGAGGAATGGGAACCGGCGAAGCGCGCGCGAAGGGACACAGACGGCAGCTCCGCCACTGCCGCCATCGGCGTCGTCGCCGCTGCTGCCTCCGCCGCCAACATCGCCAGCGCGGCCGCCGCTGACTGCAACGCGAAGGCTACCGCTGACGCTGCAGCCGCCGTCAGTGCCCCTGCCATCCCCAGCGCCGCTACGGCCGTCGCCGCCGCCGCGGATAGCGCAGTCCTGGCTGGTCCGGAGGTCAGTGCCCCGGCGGGGGACATACCCGTCGTCGACCCCGAGGCAGATGCCGCAGTCGCAAACGTCCCCGCCGCAATGGCAGACTTGCAGACGTGTACGGCGGCTCCGAAGCCGCAGGCCACAGCGGGGTTCGACGGCGGCGGACGTGGCCCGTGCAGCCAGGCGCTGGAACCGGTGGCGACGACTCCGGCGACGGCGGAGGAAATGTACGACGCGCACGGAGCCGCCGCCGCGCCAGCGGCGGCTGTTGGGGCAACGGCGGCGGCGACGGCGGCCGCGGGCCCCACGGTGCCGGAGGCGGCAGCGGTCACTGACGGCGCGGCCGACGGCGGCGGTGGCGGTGCTGGTGGCGGCGGCGGCAACTGGTACGACAGCGATGACGACATGCTTCCGTCGGCGTCGCAGATCGACGCTTTGGTACCCTCCGCAGTCACGCACACGCTGACTCGAACGACAGCTTCAAAACTCCGTGCTGCATTAGCATCAGCAGCAGCTGACACCGGCGGACGGGGCCCGTGCAGCCAAGGACTGGATCCGCCGGCGACGGTAGCGGCGGCGGCGGCGGCAAGGAAAGTGTACGACACGCTAGGAGCCGCTGCCGCTGCCGCCACCACGGCTGCCTCGCATGCCGCGGCCCCCATCGCGCCGGAGGCGGCAGCGGTCGCTGGCAGCATGGCGGCCGACGCCGGTGGCGGCGGCGGCGGTGGCAACTGGTACGACAGCGATGACGAGATGCTGCCGTCGGCGTCGCAGATCGACGCGTTGGTTGCCAAATACGGCTGATGGATGGAGGGAGGGATGGAGGGAGGGAGGAATGGCGAAGGGGGATGTGCTGACGGGGACGAGAGGGTGCTGACGGGGACGGCAGAAGCTGGGGACAGCGGCATGGACGCACAGGACGATGTTCTGATGGTTATGCTACGTGCGTCAAGCGTGAAGGACCCGCGCTGTTGTCCGACTGTACTGTACAGTGTCATGCGTGGGACTACCGGTATATATGTGGGAAGGCTTGAGTCCTGCCGCCTTCCAGCAGCAATAGAATAAGGCTTGCGAAAATGAGGCTTGCAGTTGGGAATGCAGGATGGAAGGAAGGGGGAAGGCGCGGGGAAGCGTGGGTGGCGAGGGGAAGGGGGCAATGACAGGGCTTTATTGCGACATCGGGAGGCAGGCGGGAGCGTGTGCTCCCCCCGGGCCGCCTAGTGTGTGTGTGTGTGTGTGTGTGTGTATATGTGAGAGGCCGGCGGCGACCTGACAATGGGTGCACCCCTTTGTATGCGGTGTCTGCGCTGCGACCTCCCGTCTGTACTTTTGGGGCCTACTGTTGACACGGTGTTCGGTCTGCTTCAACATGGCCGTGTATTGCAAAAAGGTACGGATAGTGTCATACACGGCCGCTTCAACACGACCGTGTCCAACACGGCCATGCATATCGCCCCATGTAGACACGATTGGACATGGTCGTGTAGACACGGCTTGTGTATAGTCTAGCTATAGAGTCGAAGAAGAGGTATACCGAGGATTGCCCAAATCCAGTGTAGTATGGCGGTTAAAACCACCGAATGCATTTGGCAGATCATATTCGGCCGTCGGCTGGGAGAAACCCGAAGTTCGCCCGGCCTGGATCGTGCCGCCCCTCATCAGGCTGACGGGAGCAGTGCCGCTGTGCACTAGTCCGTTGGCTAGTCCGTTAGCTTTCGACCCGGCGACCCTTGACTTTCCAAACTATTCACACCACTGTAACAGCGGGGCAATAACACATAGGATGCCAGAGATTCTAGCTCCTGTTACAAGGGCCTGCTGGCTATCATGTTGCAAACACGACGGACGGGTTAACGTCCCGAGAAGCGACAGCCGTACTCACTTGGGAGAGCTATTCGAGCGAGCCGCTGACACCTGCCCAGTCCTCTCCCGGCCGCTAGCGCTACGACTTGCCAGCCACAACATACATACCATGTTCAGGGAATCCACGCCAGGCCGCTAGCACCGAGCTGCCCGCCACCCAGGCCGCCTGCGTGTGTGTCCCAGCCTCAACGTGCACCCTGCTAGTTGCAATCATCATTAGGATAAGGTTTAGCCGTTCTCCATATCTGGTTCAGGGCAGATGTCTTGGAGTGGAACATCTGCACTGACTGTCAGCGTGTCAGGCCAGATGTCTTCCTCGTTGTGGTCCATGCTCGTTAACCAACGCAGTAGCTCTAACTGGGTCCGCCGACGAGGCTAACGACTCATGCCTTATCTTTAGGATGACCTTGCACCGTTATATATGAGCACTGTACTGAACTCGATGAGGGCGTCTGGGCAGCCACAGCGAACAGCTGA